GGAGTGGCTTGTCTCGCTCAGACTTTGTGCAGTCCATCTTTCGTAGTTGGGTTACTTGACGCGTCGCTACATGCGGGCTCGTGGCTCCTGCGCAGTTCGCTTTGTCATGCCACTCGCGCCCTGGCCACCTGTAGCCAAGACGTACACATCGTACGTTCACAGATGTTCAACAGACTAGTCCTGAGCGGGGCTTGCAAACGCGGCGGGGAACACTAATCGCGGGAAAGATTTGCCGAGGCAACGGAGTTAGTTGGGTCGAATGTGAACAGCTGCAGAATCTTTGGCCTGATGACTAATGCTTCAACTGAAGAGGGGCTCCCCAAGTCCAAGTTGCCTCTGATGATGCCTTACCAAAAAGACTGCACGAGGCCGGGTTTCGTTCATCTTCGCAGTTGCTGGGACTTGCTTTGTCCTTCGCGGTCACCTGGCAGACAGACATACGCTATCAGCTCCTGTGAGGTAGGGCAAGTTCGGCCGCTGAGGATTTGCTCTCGTGAAGCCTGCTTTCGTTGTGTCGGTTTCCCTGGCCCTGGCCTTGCGTGTTGAGAAGGCCACTCACATGCAGAGTCGACAGAGCGCAGCTCAGTAATTTTTCGATCTGCAGGTGGCAGCGGAACAGCACAGCAGAATCGCCGGCAGCGTTTGCGCGCTGGTTGTTGCAGCAGCTGACTCGGAAAGGTTGTATCATTGTTGCCAGAGTCTTCACTACTCATCTCTTGGCTCGCTGGTCTTGCACGGCTGAGCTTTGACCAGTGCACTCGTGGCCCTGATGGTTTCTGCCTCAGGCTTGCTCATGCGTACTCATGCACCGCCTCTATCCAGTGGTGCTCTTCCTCACAGGGAGTGGCGTGGCAGGCGATGCATGAACGCATGCCGCAGACAATCAGTTCCTCGTTTTGGCAGCTGCAAGCAGCTGTAGCAGCCGTAGGTTTGGGCACCGTGCTGCTGCGCAATGCCCTGAACCTGGAGAATTCGCACAAGGAGTTGCTGGCGCTGAGCATTTTGGTCTCAGTAGCTTGGCGGAATGCTGCGAATATCACTAGGAACTGCAAGAGATTCTGCAGCACCCGCTGCTGCGGTCGGAAGGGGATGCGCTCAAATCCTCAGGTGCCGGGTGGGCTTCTGTGCAAGGAGTTCCGCACAGCAGGACGGAGCTTAAGCTCCGGTAACTTGCAAGCCATCACCTGACGCTGGATTGCTTCAGACCACATGGTGACAGGATGGCGTTTGCTGACCCCAGTGGCCGGTGCTTATTTGCTGGCAGCTAGTTGTCAGTACTGGGAAGAAGACCTGTCAGGCTTGGGGGCTTGGGGTGGCTAGCGGCTAAAGCCACGCATGGTTATCCCTGTAGAACAATGTCTGCAAAGTCACTACGCGCATCTTCTCGGAGAGGTCTGCGTGTGAAATGGACTGCAGCCATGACGGGCTTCCCACCTGTCTTCGTTGCCACTTGGGGTTCGGCCCTTAGAGCATGCTGCGCATGCGCCTGCCGCAATCCAGTGTAGTGGCTCTGCGACGAACGCAGCTCTCTTTTCGCGTCTGCGTTCCGTAGGCCGTAGGCCAGCTCTGAGCATCTGAGAGCTGCAATTCAGGCTTCGGTACTCTGGCAGGAGCCCAGTCTGAAACATGAGAAACGCTTTACCAGTTTGGCTTGGAAGGACCTCGTACGTTTATTGTCATGGCAGTTTGTTGGGTGAGGATGGTACTGCCAGATTATTGGTCCCCTATTTGGAGACGATCCTTGCAGGGTTCCTGCTGCCCAGCCAGCATTGGTGCGAACTGTTCTGGGATTAATTGGGACTAACACCCGGCCGACCCAGGTGGTGGTATCGCGCAAACTGCAGCTGTGGCACCGGAGCTTCCCTTTCCTGCTGGATGACGAAGGCCAAGTCCGGCTTTTTCTTGGGTCTTCGCAACTGTAGCACCGGGTCCTGTGCAGGCACATGGCAAGCTCAAGACCCTGGAGAAGCCTCAAAGGCTTTCCTGTCAGAGCCATTCCTCAGAGGCGAAACCCCAGCATTTCAACTTTGATTTTGTTGCAGCTGACCACTTTAGATTCTGTCTAGAATGTATTGACATGGAGGCTCCAGTCCTCTGCAGCCTCATGAGCGACATTGCCGCAGAGACACTCCGATGCAATTGCTGCAGGGGCAAACCGAGTGTGGATCCCTAAACCCTAAACCCATGCTCTCTTGCTATTGTCTTGCTGCGTGCAGGAGTGGTCTCGGGTACCAGGTTTGGTGATTGGTTTCAGCATTCTGGTGGTGTTGCTCCTCAATGGTGTCTTGATCAGCTCCTCGGCATGTAGCCAGAAAGCGCCACAGCAGCAAGCGAGCATGTGCCCATATCAGGTCAACCAATATTGGTTCTGGGCCATGGCGTTCTGATGTCTTTGGCTTTCCTTCCGCTCACCACAGCAGGTGCTTGCAAAACGACACAAGCACAAAGCAAGCACAAAGCCAAGCACAAGCAAGCTCGCGTGGGTATACTGGCTGCCAGGCCTCCTTTGCTACTCTTCAGAGCACAGCCGCTTCTGTGGTCGTGGCCGTGTCATGGAGCCCATCATGCGGCATGCTGCTCATGCAACCATGGGTGCTGCACCTACAGCAGTTGAGTGGCCATGAAGCCGCGGGAACACATGTTTCATGCTGGCAGCATTGTCCGTGCTGGCAGCATTCTAGGCGTGCTTGTGCTACTCTGTGCGCTGCTGGGGTGCCTGTGCCTTGGCTACCTGGATGTAGATGCAGGCGTTGCGTGCCGAAGCATGCTTAGACACCTGCTGAACATGAGCTGTCTCCCAAAAGTCAGGTCCATTTACTGGAATCGGCTCCTCACTGCAGAGCCTGTGCTGTCCACGTGGAGCAGAGGGCTTCATGCACTGCGGTGGCATTCTGTCACAACTGATTTTCTAATATGCCCAAAGCCTGACTAGGCCTTCAAATTAGGTGCTGCAAATTCGGTCGATCATGGTCAGTCAGAGTTTTGCTTCTTGCCCGCTGGCAAGCAAGGTCTTGGTTGGTTATTCCACCATGGCACTGCTTTGCCTGACGAGGCTGAGCATCCAGATCCAGTGTTGCTTGATATTTGGAGATGTGCCTTGCTCGTGCAGTTTTTCCGGTGCTGCGAAGCTTCTGGCTGCTCAGAAAGGATGCAGGGCTGCATATTGCTCACGTAACGGGAGTAGGAGTCCTTTGTAAGTCACCTGGACCTAGAACAGGGAGCCAACACGTGCAAGGCTTCCTAGAGTGGAAGCAAGACTGCGTGCGAGGAGAAAGGCAGCAGGATGTGGCGCCTTACCACCCACTGTTGGGCAAGCTCATCTATGTGATGGCCGCGTTCAACCAGGTGCCTGAACTTTCAGTTGTGCTACAACACGGATTGCTCGGTTCTGAGGTGCAAGGATTCTTCCTGCAAGACCTGATTCCTCGCTGGATGGCCCTGCTCCTGACAGTGATGGTGCTAATCTGCGTGTGCCCCTGCTGCATTGCGTGCATTGCGTAAATTTATGTGGTGAAGACTTTCCGGCAGAATCACAATCACAGAGCAAATCCAGTCTGGAAAATGTGCGACGTACATCGCCACATGAAATGATGTCTTGGCCGGCTTCGCCATTGCTGAGGACAGCGGTGTTGGCCTTCATGTGTGGGTTTCTGCTGCTTGGCTTCATGGGCCGAGAGCCAAGCAAATTCCATTGTGTCAGCTCACTGGTTCACCTTCGATCCTTGTTTACCCTGTCCTTTCCTGCTCTCGCCCTCTCTCTTTCGCTATCTTTCCGCCCTTTTTTTTTTCTTTGATTACTTCCTTCCATGTGCACTTGAAGCTACCAACAAATTAAACGGTATACCTGCTTACAAAAGTGTAGACGCCCATGGGTTTGCACAGGCTCCCCAACTCACGCTGCACTCTTCCTCTCATTTCCGCTCTCTCACACCCTAGCTGCTCTTGTATACTCTCTCGCTCTCTCTCTATCGCTCTCCGGCTCTTTCTCCCCTTTGCTCTCTTGCACAGTTGCAGCTTGGCATCCCAGCTCAGGACACCAGAAAGGCTTCCAGCAGCTCCCTTGGACAATGCCAAGGATTTCAAGGTCCTGTACAGAGCTTTGCTTCCAAGAGCCAACCTCAAGGCTTTCACCCGGCCAGGATGCCAAGGAGCCCGAGATGCTGCAGGTGCAGCTGCTTGGCCGGCTGAGCCCGGAGGTGGCCAAGGCGCCCCGAGGCAAGGAACTCCTGCCTCCATGCAACGGATGAGATTATTCCTAACACGGTCCGAACTACCAGGCAGACAGCGACAACGCACTCGGCGTGCCTCTTGGCACCATGGGGCAAATCACGTTCGGTGCTGTTCTCACCTGCGCAGCCATTCCTGTGCAAGGATTGGGATGCTGTCGTTGGGGCCTTTGAGACGCAGGACAGATGCTCACGCTGCGGGTAGTACATCGCAAGCATTTTCAAGGGTTAGTCTGGGTCCAAAAAGGGTCACTGCGAGCTTGCAAAAGCAATCAGAAATCAGGAAACGAGACTACCTGGGCTATGGGATGATGCAAGCTGTATTGCCTAAGCAGGCATTCAACTCCTGTTTATGCGTACCGGTGGCAGTGAGCCAGGATGCCAACAACATGATGTCCACATGCTTTCTTCGCTGGCACCGCTTCGCGCAGTCAGCGCACATAGCGAAAGCACATGCCGAGCTGCAGAGCAGCGACAATCTCGTGAACTTTTTGTCCTCAACCTTATTGGGCGAGATGAGGCCGTGGGATTTCTTTGACACGTGGTCAGTGTGCACAAATCAGGGCGACTCTTGAAGTGCTCCGTAGCGCAAAGCATAGCCCTTTCGGCTTGCTGTGAGAAAACGGACAGACATTCCAGGATTAGCATAGTGCATCTTAAGCGCACTGGCCCCAACGCGCGAAAAGGCTGCAAGCATTCCAGAGTGCAAAGCAGCGCTCCCCCAAAACGAAGAAGTTGACACATTTTCCTACATTGACATGACCTGCTCGGGCCATGCCCGGCCTGCGGCCATCGGTGCGCGACCACGACGAGAAGGAGCTGGTGGTTCCTGGGCTTTGTCTGAGAAGTTCCTCATCTCAGGCCAGCTCACACACTTGGGGCCTGAGGTGGAGGACTCTGTGGAGAGTCTCGGTTTCGGCTTTGTCGACTTGCCTCCAACGCGCTTACCTCAGCAGAAGCTACGCAGCTCAAGACTTGCTGTAAATACACGCGGTGAGTTGCCAGGAAGTTCGCCCCTGTGGTGATCAAGACGGTCAAGAAGGCCGTTCTCCGGAGGTGATAAGAGGGAGCAACAGCTGGCTTCGGAGTGCAGGACTCCTGGGCCGCAGATGCGGGCATCCTTGCTGGCAGCGAGCTCCTCGAGCTGAATGGCCAAGAAGTGCCGCTCACCCGGAGAAGCCAGGGCATGCCAGGCGCTGGGCTTGTTGGTGGTCGGATGCACGCGCCATGTCTAAGGGGCCGAATGTCGGCTGATGACTTCCGGGCTGCTTTGAAGCAGCGGCCGCTCAGGGTGAAGCTGGCGCCGCCCATGGCCGAAGCCTGGCACCTCGGCAAAGAGATGTAAGGCAGCTAGGCCAGACGTACCACATCTTGAAGCGGCTTTCCGTTTTTGCCTCTCAGGAAACAGGTGGCCAACTTCCAACAGCAGTGACTTGCTTGAAGCTATATGGACACGGAGGGGCATGGAAGTAGCTGAGTGGGGCAGATGTGGAAGCAGGGAGGCTTGCCGTCCACTGAGGGTGGTTGCCCTGAGTCTGCAGAAGGCACGAACGGAATCGAAGGGATGTGTGGCAGGTTGCATTGAACAGGCATAGATCCAGCTTGCACCGAGGTGCACCTCCAGCAAGCGCTGAAGGACGAGAGCGACCGGGTCAAGCGAGAACTTGTGACCTGACTCGGCAACAGGTCTGCGCAATCAAGCGGCTCTCTTTGCCGACTTTCACTGCCTGCCCTGTTGCTAAGGGCATCTGCACTGCCATGGAAAAGTCCAACAGTCTTCAGAACAAGGATGCGAGAGAAAGTTGCACTCAGCATTTGGAACTGCCTGGGAATTGCTGGTCAGGCGCAGCGGATCAAAGACCTGGCAGTCCGAGATCAAGAGCGCCGGGACATGGAAAGCCAACTGGCATCTCTACAGGCCAATCTTGGCTTTACTTCTTTACTTGAAGCCGTCGCCTCCCTCAGGCACAGCTTGACACGAAGACTGCCGAAGTAGAGACATTGCAGCAAAGCCTTGAAGCTGAAAGGGCACGTGGCGCAGATACTCGGAGAAGAAGAGCTACGCAGCAACATGTTCTCCACCTCGCCAAGTGAAGCTCTACAGAGCTTTCCCAAGCCAGGAAGCCGCAGCTCTGCGTGCTGAGCTGGAAGCTTTGAAGGCCTCTCGGGCTAAGCAGCGCGTGGCAGCAATGCTCACCGTTTTATGTGCATGTGCAGCCATGAGGCAAACGGTTCCCAATCTGGTGAGGATGCGAACTTTTCCAGGCGGGTTCAGATGCAAAGATGCGCTTTGTCCCCACGTGCTTGACATCCAATGTCTGGCAGCCCCCGTAAGTAGACAGCCGTCCAGGCGTGAGGAGGACTTGGAAGAAGAACGCGTTCAACTGCAAGAAATGAAGGCCCAGCTTGCGGCTACAGCATGCTGAAACTCATGCTGAAGCATGACTCTCACATTGCCAGGCCACGCTGGATGCTGACAGCAAGGCTTTGCAGCTGGCAAAAAAGCAAAATGCTAGTGAAAGGTCCGAATTAGAGGTCTTCTGCTCGGTTGGACATTTTGGCGGGCCTGATGCTGTTCATTAATTATGCAGGATCTGAAAGCCGAGGTGCTTCGGACGCAGCTGGAAGCTAAATCCAGTGCTCAAGACGAGCGCGAGGTGCGATCGCCCTGTGCACATCGTTCCGGCAAAGTGCAAGAGCTATCTGACAGGCTGTCCTTGAGAGAGGAGCTGGAGCGACTTGAATCCCTGGCTGCTCTTGAGGTTGCTCTCTGTCCGCATGAGTTACACCGGCTCCAGAGTTGAATTGGTTGGAGAGCCTTCAGAGGGCCTGGGGCTTTCCAGGTCGAGGAGGAGCTGTCGAAAGCGCGTGGCTGGGTCAAGCTTGGAAATGGTTCCCGATGACGCGCACAACATGATGTGTCAAAGTGTTAGAGATGGGACCCAGGTGCAGCCCTTTTGGCCGTGCAGCCTACCTTACGGCAGCTTGAAACAGAGGCAATCTCTCCTTATGTTCTTTCTTTCGACATGAAGGGGTGGTTGGTTCTTGGTTGTGGCAGGTGGATTCTGACACGGGGTCTGGGAGCCCACGCAGCCCAAGACGGCCCTCGAGCCCTCTAAGAGCATCGCAGAGATTGTCGCAGACCTCAACAAGGTTGTCACTTGCCAGACAGTCGCTGACCGCAGCCAGACTGTCACAGCTCAGAGCTGTGGCCCCGCAGCCTGGCAAGTTTGCAAATGACGACTTAGCAAGCCTTATCCGTTTTTTCCCAAGCATCTGAGAAAATGCGATGCCAAGGCCTGTGCAGGAGACAGAGGAGGATTCCGACGAAATGTTTTGATCCACTTGGCTTGGCCCTGGCAATGCTGAGAGCGGGGTCCTTTGCCTGCCACTCAAAGTCAGTGCGGGCTGCCTTAAATTTGCAGGTGGCCACGTTGGCCTCCGTTCTCAGATTCCTTCTCACATCCATTCAGCGCTAATGCTAATTATGCGCAAGACCTCGAACAATCCTGCATTCTGCAGAAATGTGCTGTCCGGATAGGGCTTAAGCTGGTCAATAACATCTGCTGTTGTGTGGAAGTTGCCCCTGCAAGGTGGCGAGAAGTCAATCTGGGCCAGAACAGAGAGAGGAGCTATTCCCAAAGTGAGGCTACAACCACGGAAGCAAAGCAGCATCATTGCCAAAATGCTTAGGTTTCGGCACGGAGCACAGTCATCCCTCGAAATGGGGGGTTGATTGTGGGTCGATGTCAGCGACAAACGCTGCAGTTTCCTGAAATTCTCGCAGGTCTCAAAGAAGGCCTGGAGGATTGAGTTTAGTTCCCAGCCGATCAGGCTTTCGTCTGGCCTTTTCAAAGTGGTTTAAAGGTCCTGTGGAATTCTGGACGCAGAAGTGCGGCGCTGCACATGCTTGACCAGAAGTCGTGGGACGTCCAAATAAGCGTGGCAGTGCAGCAGCTGGACCCTTGTTCAACCCAGACTGTGCTGCTTGATGGTTGCTAGATGTGAAGAAGCGCTTGGCTCTATTGTCGACGAGGTAGCGTAGCTTGCGCAGCATTGGGACGCCTGCCACGAGCCATGAGACGCTTGGCTCTTGGAACAGCTGCAGCGATGGTGTCGGCCGCGCTCTTCGCCATGCCTTGGAGCTTTCTGACACCCCCCAGTCAGAGATTGGCTGCAAGACCGTGCAGAGCACCCATCCATAGTCACGTTGATACCTATGACGCATCGCGCACGGTCACAACGGTATTTGCGAGTTTAGCCGTGGGCCTGCTCCTTGGGGCTGGTAGTGCGTGGGCTACAGTGCCCAAGCTCAAAGACTTGCAAACAGACGCAGCGGCACCGCGAATGGACTGTGACACCCGTGTGCGTCAGCAAGCTGAAGAGCCAAGCGCCTTACAGGAGTTTGTCCAGGCCAGTGCGCAGCGCAGGAGCGAGAAACGCTTGAAGCTCATCCAGAAGCAACTTAAAGAACATGGTAGGGTAGCCATCGACAGGATATGCTTTGAGGGAGAGCAAGACAGGAGCATGAGGAACATGTAGAGCACTGAGCCTTTTTATCGAAGAGTCCAAGGAGCCTAGCTACCCAAGATTTGACAAGCCCCGGGCGAGAGGTCAACCATCACCCGCACAGATTCCATTCTGGTGCTCCCTGTACAGCATGTGCCTGGGGTGCAAACACTGACCCCAACGAACTTGGAGCACGCCCGGCTGACAGTGGAGCTGGACCCCAGCTCCAGAATAGCATGTCGCACCATGTCGCTGCACAGAGACTGCCAGATGTTGAAGGATCAGTCAATGGTTAGAGCATAACCAAGATGAATTTGCAGACGCGAAGTAGCCGGGTCAAGTTCAAGAAAAGATCCTTCCTGGCACGATTGACATGTTCTGATTGGAGGCGCTGGCGGTTGTACTTGTAGCAGATCCTCAGGGGCTAAAGCAGTAAAATGTGAAGTCTGGTTGCTGCCGCATTGTATTCGAGACTTTGTTGACTGTGAGCTGCGCTTGACACAAGAAGTCGTCAGCATTGCTAAAGTGCCGCAGTCTGGCTGCTTCAGGGAAATCTCGTAGCCGGCTCAGTCATGGTTCGAAGAAGCAGGAGATTATGGCTTGGTGTGCTTGCAGCAGCAATGTCGCTGAAGTACGGCATGTGCGATGAGACCGCCAGCAAGGCCTCCAGGAAACCTTGTTGTAAGTGCTAAAAAGAGCTGTCATGTGGCATGCCTAACAGTTTTGGGATGTTTTGGGCTTCTCCTGTGCTAAGAGAGGAGCATCGCCGAGAGGGTAAGAGTGAATTCTGAAGATGTTCTTCTTGCCTGGCTGATCTGCCTGGGAGTATTCTGCGCGAGGCCATGGTTTTCCGACCCTGGCGTCCTCGAGCCAGCACTGACTCGCCAGACAGCACAACACTCCCAGCAGTCATCACGCTGCTTGTGGGAGGATTCCTAGGCATGGGTGCCTTCCAGGAGAACCCGGCAGTGCCGCAACTCTTTGAGTCCGTGAAGGACGAAACTTGGACCGGCTCCAGGGGCCGGCTAGCCAGGCTAGCTCCACGTAGATCCATTTCCCTGGATGCCGGCCGGCGCTTCAGGGATGCGCCGCTTCGGTCCAGAAGCCGTTGTCGGCCAAGGCCCTGACCTACCCGGAGACTGCGTTGCTCGAGCCTGCCAAAGGGGGCAGGCTGTCGATCACCATGGCAGGAGCGTGGTCCACTGAACTCGCACTGGACTTGATCCAGTTGCGCAAGCAAGTGGTTTGAGCGCAAGGGAGCGACACTGAGTGACCCGAGTGTACGATAGCAGTACAGTAGTGTTACAGTCATGAGTCATGTAAGTCATGTGAATACCACACTTAATTCGCAGGTTTTGAGAGGAGATGGATCAGTCACAAGAGCCGGTGGGCTTGAGACAGAGTGTGGAGAATGCGTGTTTGAGCCTTGCAAGTGTTCTATTCTTGACCTTGCCGTCCGCCTCTTCTTCTGGCCTGAACCAAGAACTTTTAATCGGGCTTGCCTGTGCAGTAGCCAGTGGAGCTGCAAAAGTTTTGCAGACGCTAGGGCCTTGCGATGCCTTGCATGCTTGATCCCTTGCTGCGTCTGCTGGAAACGTACTTGACGGGCTGAAGCTGCCTGGGCAGGTCACTCGAGGGAGCTTCTTGCAAAAGCTTTCCAGCCTTCAGCCAAGATGCTGAAAAGTTCGGTGCCTCTGGGCCAATCCAAACCAAGAGGCATCTCGACGAAGTCCGCGTGGATTGAGTCTGAAGCACTGGCCTCGAAACCCTCCCTGAAGAGCCACTGTTTCAATTTTGCATGAGCCAGAGGCTGCGCTATGATGACGTGGCACCTCGGATTGACACCGGACTGAAGCGAACAAGGCCGCCCCTAAACAACAGTGGCCTTCCCATACTCTTGTCTTGTTGAATCGAAAGCGGACATGGTTGCTGTCTCAGATAAGTAATGAGAAGGTCCTCGCCGCGTGCGGACCTTGGCACCTCGCGCTTTTGTACGCGCAGCCTCCTGTGGTACACACATCAAGCCTTCATGGGTATTTGCAAATGGATTGGTGCCCAGCCATGCCAGGTTCAGGCTCCCCAAGCAGAGCAAGCTCGCCAAACAGACCGGCATCCAGGAGGCACGATCTGCAGGCTGGATGGTGCATGGAGCTGGAAGCCCACCAGCAGTGATGTCAGGTCCTCTTCGCCGAGTTCTCCACGTGTTGGCCGCTTACTTCCTCCCCCAGTGCCCTGGCAAAAGTTCATCTGCAGAACGCGAGTTTGGCAAACGATCCCTTTGCTCATGTGGTAGATGGCCAGGGGCCAAAACTTAGCCCTCGAAATCGGGAACGAAGCTCAAGCGCAGGCTGTGTTGGAGACTTGCGGGTCCAATTTGCCACCGGAGAGCGTAGACGTAGAACATGTAAGTTTCCAAACTGTGCCAGGCTCCCCGACCAACTCGCCAAGGAGGCACCGTGTGGTTTGTGAACGCCCGTTCTGCTGCAAGCAGTTTTGCTTACCAAAGCTGTGCTGTAGGCAAGCCCTGAGGGCGGGTGAGATTCTGGAATCAAGCAGGTCATGCAAATGGCTTCTGCTCTTGTCTTTCTTTGTGTTCTTGATACAGCTCGACGAGCATTTTGAACCGAGCCCTGACTCAGGATGGCATCCATGTCACAATCCATGTCCATGGCATCTGTGAGTCTTCGCCTCGTTTACCTCGTTTACATCAATAGAAATCAACAGTGCAAACGGCTCCAGGGAATGTAGCCACAGGTTCGAGAATTTGAAGCACTACTCCATCTCTCCTAGCGGCTTTGTGATTTTGCTCAGGTTCTCTAAAGTCCACCTTTTCTGAGAAGGACCTGCTTTTGATAGTTGTACAGTGCGTCGGAAAAGGCTCGCACTGCCATGCACTGCCTGCAAGGAGCTTGTGACGTCCAGCCGACTAATGTCACGGACGTCGCAGGCCACAAGTTGCCTGAGGTCAGCATAATGGCGCTTGCCTCGACTATGCTGCATGCAAGCCACAATGCCCATGTGAAAAGCCTCTCGCTCAGCATGCCTCCTCGTTCATGTGCTATCGCTGCTGGGGCCTTGGGAGGCCATGCCAGGGTCTGCTCCCTGGCGCAAAGGATGATTTAGCGTGCTTGAACTGGAAGCCTTCCCTGCCTCCGGAAAGCACGCCCATGTGTGCTGCGGGAACTCCTACAGGTCCTAGAAGCCGTAAACAGGATCTAGGTATGCTTCTAAACGCTTATGCAGCAAGTGCCTTCCCGCGGCCTTTATTGTTTAGGATGATTTTTGGGCCTAAAGTCGCCCACGTGTACTCATAATTGCCCTTGCAGCACGCCTTGCAAGGTGGAATCCTATCTTAATGTTTCCAGTGGTGGAGCAACAGTACGCCAATGGTTTTGTGGCTCTTGTGTCTGAAGTTAGACATGGGTTTCGGTATGGAAGTTTTCGGAAAGAATCTGCTCCTGCACGTTGGCAGATCGGATCAAAACACTTGCCAAAGATGAGTGTTCCCTTTGTGTATGTCCAAGCCTTTTTTTCATCCTGGGTGTTCTATGGCCACCGCTGCTGCACGGTCGCATCTGCTAATCTGCAGATCTACAGGGTGAGAAGAGCTATGTGCTCACAAGTGCTCTGGCTCTGACGTGTACAATCATACCACAAAACCCGTCAACTTACTTATGTCAAGGAGACAGCCCCTTCTAGCCATAGCACCTGGTCGGCCAAGAAGGAAAAAGGTTCCATCATATTGAATCATATTCGTCTGCGCTTATCCGACGAATGGCTTGCGGAGTCGCGTTTCCCATGTCAAGACATCATTGGTATACATTGCTTGCTGTGTAATGCGCCGCTGGTTCTTGGGCTTCAGTTGTCGGTGACGCCTGCCTGGAGCTGCGCTGGTGCGGCCATAGTGGAGGCCTACTCCTCAGGAATCCTGCGGCCAGCATGCAGTGTCAGCGCAGCTGTGACAGTCCTTAATCATGTAGGCCGCCGCTATGGCCAAGCGGCACTTGGCTGGAATGGTTCGGTCGAACCAGAATGTCGTAAAGTTCGACTCAGAACCTGAGGAGCCCTCAACTTAGCCGCTTAGCCACAGGATCGACCGGGAAATCCTTTAAGCTCAAGTTGACCTTGGTGAAGTGACACACGACTGCAAGGCCAGTGGCTCGGCCAGGGTCCTCGCCAACCTCGCGCCCACCTCGTGCACAGTCCAGCAACGCAACTTTCCCAGCAAGCACATAAGTTAATCCCACCTTGTCATGCATGGGTCTAGGGGATGTCTGCCCACAGGGGCCATGCTAAAAAGTAAGGTTTGTCCTTCCCCGTCCCCTGATGTACTCCATGTAGCCTACGAAAGACTCCGGGCCGGGACAACAATTGCTGTACTGCAGCGAGGAAGCCGCACGCGTACGCTACGCTCAATCCTTGCTTTAACCTTGGACTTGAGTTTGAGCTTGAGCCCAAGGCTTGGCACGATGTGATGGAAATGTGCCGGAAGGGCTTTACAACAAAAATGAACAGCCACCTGGCGTGGTCTGGAATTTGCCTTCTCTCCCCATCCGCAAATCAGCTGCGAAGGTGTGGGAAATGAGATCCTACAGGATGCTTGTCCCTTAGAGCTGACTTTGCCCGTGATTTCCTCAACAGAGTACAAGCCCAAGAGGCGGAAGTGTGGCTCATACACTGCCAGGTACGCACTGAGGTCCAGCGTGCGGTTGCGCAGCTGAAGGTAGAGATCTCCACCATGCTGGAGGCCGGGTATGCGAAAACACAAAAAATGCAAGCAAAGGCTAGCCGCCTGTAGCCGCTTAGCCCCTGGCTGCAGCTCCCGAAGGCATGCTGAGGAGGATCTCATTTAAGGGCATCCTACGGATGCAGAAGCATCTTAACACATGCGTTCAGCTGCAACCTGCCAATTCTGATTGACTTGGAGTCGAGAACGGTGCCCTTCGCGTGCTTTAGCTGAAGTCAGGTCAGAGAAAAGACATCCAGCAACAAAATGGAGTGGCTCTGCAGCACTTTCATCAGTTTTGCGGCCGTTAGACAAGTATACTGACTAGAGGAGATACGGCCTCGGGCCATGCATGGTTTGCAACATACAGCACCAGGTCTGTCCTCGTCAACCTAGACAAGCTGCAGAAGCCTTTGCCTTAGCTCAGATATCGAATCAAAGAGACTTTGTAGGCATGTGGCGTGCCTCTACGAACAATGCCTGCAGGACCACCGAAGAGGGAGTGATGAACATCCACTTCGATCTTACCCCTGTTTTGCAGGCGCTATGCAAACCTACATGTGCTTGCTACGTTTGCGGACGGTCAAGCACTATCCGCTGGATTGGACTAACAAGATGAGCCAGCGATCAACCTTAAAGATTTATGCTTGTCATTCTGCAGTTCTTCTACGCATGTCTTGTGCTGCAACGAACAGAAATGTTAGGGTCTGCTTCCGTGGAGTGCACTTCCCTCGCTTTTTGCAGTCAACCGTCTTCACCCTTTGTCCCCCGGCTTGCTTCCTCGCTTCTGCTTGTTTTTCTTGCTTTCGCGAGAGATGTCGATCTGCAGCTGCCCAAATATGAGCCCAAAAGCGCTGTCGGTTCCTGAGCTTGGTTCGGAAGGAGATGCAAAGAGTGAATGAAATCCACGTCGAGGCCACTGTGCAGAGACCAAGATGCAAAGTGTAATTCTCATCTGAAGTAGAGCCCTTTGTTTAACCAAGGGGGGACTTTCGTGCAAGAGACTTTTAGTGCAGAGAGCGTGTCCTATAGCTGCAATCTTTGTCAGTGCATAGGGGTGAAGATAGTGAACATTGCTGCATATTGCTCCAGCTGAAATTTAGAATGAGCCACAGGGTGACGCAGAGGGATTTATTTCAGAAGGGTTTCTATGAAACATGACTCTGTGAATAGCTGAATGGAGAGAGTTTCACATTTGAAGCAGCTGGCGTTGTGCAGATGGGAAAGCAAAGCTGGAAGCAAGCATCCAGGCCAATTTCATGTGCGACGGAAGGACCGCAGAAGACTCGAAGGGCAAATGGAGAAGCTTGGCCAGCAGATGAAAGAGGCGAGCGGATGCAAGCAGAGACCAGCCATGCCATTCGGAGTATCTTTCTGGCTTGCAGTTGCAGCTTCGTGCCGACGTAGAGGAGGAGCTGAATTCCGTGCGCGATGCCCCAGAATATGGGGCAACTCAGCAGCTTGCATTCAGTGCCTAGCGCGTAAGCGTGAAAGTTCGTGAGCCCTTGCTTGTTATGGCATTTGCTGCAGGAGCGCATCCTGAAGCTGCAAGACAAGCAAGAGCAAACAGAAGCCAGTCCGCGCTTGCTGTACCTGCTATTCCGAGCATGCAAAGAATGTATTGCCGTGCATCCTGACACTGCACAAGGAAAGTTTGGTCTCTAGCGCACTGCCCTGAGTGCTTGCTGGCAAGTTTGGCAGAAAAAGTTTGAGAAACTGACCCAGGTTCAGAAGCTGCAGGAAATGTTAGCGCTTTCTATTGAGCAGACAACAGAGGAGGCCAGATCAGGGAAGTGATCTTTGCCACATCTGCTGGGCACCAAAAGTCAGCCTGCTGAGGTCCAAAAGTCAGGTTCACAAGCTCACGAGGACGCTGCTGCTGCTGCTGCTGCTGTGCCTAGCCGGCCTGGCCCATGCCAGAAAGCTCCGATGGATGCAGAGACATTAACACCTGAAGCTGCTGAAGCTGCAAACTTAGCAAGGCTTAAAAAGGCCGTGCCCAACAGGACTATGACCAAATGGTTGCTTTCAACACCGAGACGTCCAGGCTGGTTTCAAAAAATTCTCATGTTGTTTTTGGGGACTGTAAGGAGTCACAAAAAGTCGCTTGCGCAGGCAGATTATGCAACGACTGGAGGTGGGAGACTTTATTCTGCAAGTGCCAGCTCTCAAAAAAACATAGACCAGTTTGTTTTGTGGGGACGCTCTCGAATGAGAGGATCCGTGTATGCAGGAGCCAATGGTCGTTGACATGTCGGAGTTGCAGCGGGATATGAAGAAGTCTCAAGCAGCAGCTTCCTTATTTCGTGCAATCATGTTGAGATGGAGAACAGCTGGTATGGCCTGTTCTTGCTGTGCGCTCGGTCTGCTGTGAGCCACGTGACTTCCCTTTGAAGGCAGTGTCCTCCGACTTTCGCATGGTGCTGAGCGAGATTGGCAAAATCCAGCAGGCCCTTCACCTGGACTTCGTGTGGTGCCCAGCACAAAACCATGTCATCTGTGCAGAGCCCGAGAATGTTCTTCTGATCTGCTAGCAGTTGTTCGGCTTAGATTCAGATGGCAGAGTTCGTGAAGGAGGAGAAGGCGCGAGCAGATGTGAGCAGCCCCAGTTGGCCGGCGCCGTTCTAGCGAATGCACCTCCAACACAGGAGCAGAAGCGCCCCAGCATCCCGGCAACGGCAACGGAAGCCACCTGCGTGGAGGCGCCTCCTGAGCCCAAGCTGGTGGAGGCAACGGACATGACCTTCATGCTCGTAAGCCAGCGCGCAGTTCAGAACAGCGCGGACTTTGGTTTTAGTTTTGAAGGAGAAGCCCCGACCGATGCCGAGCGGCGCTCAGAGCATGTCGGTGGGCCACGTGGCCTCCGAGAAGGCGCTTAACGGCTTTACCTTTCGCAACATGCACATGAAGAGAGATTCAGAGAGCGGCATGCGGTATCTCAGTTCCCGTGTTCAGGCGGAAAGCACCAGGAGGTCTCTCAAGCACAGCTCCACTGCACCTACAGACAAGGCCCTCAATTGCAATCAGTTCTTTGCAGCGTTGATGTTGGCAAAGATGCATAGACAACAGGGGACTTGGGCCCCTGGGGCTTCCAGGATGACGCTCTGCAAATGTCCATGTCCGCTGACCTCGTGTACGCGAAGCGCGGAAGCCCCTCTCCCAGAAAGAGTGAGTTCCCTGTGTGATAGGGCGCAGAAGGACCATATGCTTACAGAAGTTACAGAATCAGCAGCCATGTCTTGACCAGGTGTCGGTCCTGGCACGAGCTCGGAGAATGTTCATGCCTTTGTCGATTGGCATGGGTTGCCCAATAAATCAGGAAGCTGTATGTCTCATGTACCAAGGCCATCTCGGCAAAGAAGCACAAGCGTGTGCGGGAATTCTGGAGCCAAACTGAGCCAGAGCCCTTGGAGTCGATACTTGGCTTATTTGGTTGACGGCTGGGATGGCGGTGTACTGCTGGAATTGTGGTTGCTGCTAGACTATAGCTGCAGCTGAGGACTGCCGTGCAAACAGATCCTGTCAAGTTCCAGACGCAGCGCGGCAGAAGGAGCCGTTGGAGTTTCTCAAGCCACTCCTTCTACGGATCTGAATCTGCTTCTGATCCCTATGTTTTACGATCTTGGAGGATACCTCCCAGTTTCACTGCTGTGATTGCGGTTTGTACTGTAGCTGTCCGTATGTTCGGCTAAGCTTGCAAAAGTACCCTCAAAGTCAAGGAGTGAGCAGATGCAGCGAATAAGGAATGTGAAGAGCTGGATGGAAATGTCTTTGCTGTACTCTTTATTCATCATGAGCCCATCTTGACTTTTCATCCGTGCTAGTTTGTCACTCCTTGCTCCCATTGGCATAGGCGCTGTGCTTGAAGGCTTGTGACATGTGAGCGTTTGATGCCAATCTCCAGGAGTACACATCCTGCGGGAGAAAAAACTCCACCTGCGCCGAAGCCGAAGCCTAAACCAAAGCCGCAAAGAGTGTTTCAGGATGCAGAGGCCTGCAACCTGAATTGCACTTTCATGCTTAGGCAGTGTGCATGCGACACGTGACCCACAGGCAATGAAGCAAAAGGCCAGACAGGCGAGAGTTAAGCCGTGCCTGACATGCAGTTTATGGAAAATAATGGAACGCATTGGTATTGGTGGGAGTACTGCTGTTGCAGTAGCAGCCTTCGTTTGCTATGTTGCTAAGGCAGTACAATGTGTTTGACCGGTACTACAAGACCGTGGGCATCCCTAGCGCAGACCAACATGACTACAGGACTGCAGCTTCGTCTGATTGTTGCCCAGGGCTGCGCCCAGTTCGTCGCCAAGCACTGGTTGCACTTTGGCTGCGACTTTGTGGGTGCAGCCTTTTGAAGTCAAGACTCGAGCTTGCGGCAGCCACGGCCAAGGTTTGAGTACATGACGCTGGATGCCCTGCTGCAATGTAGCGGCTGCCGTTCTCACGCACAATTGACCCGAAATCATCCCAAAATTGTGGATCTTGCACGCATCTAAGTTTGTGGTATGCCTGAACACGGTCTGGATTGCCATCGACACGGACCTGAACCAGTTCTCCATCATCACAAACGCGCCAATTGAGTTTCAGGCCAGGCTTGGGCAGTTGCGGACCTTCTTGCTGCCAGCCATGATGTAAAAGTAGGTCGCAGAGAACTTCTTTTGCGGCTACTTCTTTGCTGAGCTGCTGATCCGATTCTGCGCATTTCAGTTCAAAAGGCCAGGAGCACTGACGCGGTCATGCAACAGTTCGTCTTAGAATTAAAATTCCATTCGCCAATTCGGAAGGCATTGTTTGCAAGACTATTGGTTTATTTTCGACTTGTTCCTTGCCCGGCGCTCGATATCAACCTGTGGAAACCGCAGTGCTTCGAAGGGCATGTTGTGCCATGCGTGACCAAGGTAGTCCTCATGGTTGCGGAGACCTGGATTCTGCCACTCGTGTTTCATCTGCTTGGGTTCAAGGAGGAGGACACATGCAGAAGTCAAACCTTTTCTTCTGTTTTTGCAAGACGTCGTGTGGTAAAAGAGGCTTGCTCCTAGAACAATGCGGGACAGAAGCGCGGGGTCAAATGCCGAAGCTTAGCACATATTCCTCCCAGCACATTCCGGACACTCACAACAGGCTCTGAACTTGGACGTGCGTGAAAACAGATCGGGTTGGCTCGCAAAGGCGTTAGGCTTCCTTGCCAGCATACGGAGGACCTAGAGGGCACCGTGAACACTGACTTGTTGCGGATCTTGCGTTTAGCCTGGAGCCTAGCCTGGCAGACGATAGAAACTTGGAACATGCCAGAAATCATAAGATGTTTGTCATCTCCTGATAGAAAAGGGGTCACCAATGTGCAGGTACGAATTCTGCGGCTGTCTCGAATGGCGAAGTTACTCCGTGCAGTGCCAGAACTGGTGGGACACCCAGCTGGATGCCCACTTTCCACCCTCATCATCCTGTCTCTGAACCAGGTCATCATCATCAAGGGCATAGGTTTTGCAGCCGGGCCCTGAGCATCAATCTGGCAGCCTAGCATAGTTGCGGCGCAGCATATTTTTCGCACGAGGCGCGTTCCGTGATCGTTTTCTTCATGCTGTGGACAATGCTCCCCTCCTGCATGCAACGAGTAACAGGTGCAGGTGTACCGAGACGTTGTGGGGTGCCGAAACGAGAGAGGCAGTCCTGCTTAACGTCGCTGAGGATCATCTACGTATTTGCAATCCTTCTGCGGCAGCTGACGCAGAGTCGGGGGCACACCTGCGCACGACATGCTAACTTTGTGCTTACAGCAGCGTGGCAAGGCTATGATGTTGGAGCCAAGTACTTCTCCTCCGTCTCACATTCAATGATGACTTTATTGCTAGAACCTCAGCTCTTGTTTCAATGCCAGACGTCCAGTTGGGGCCTTAAGGATGTGGCGGAGCTTAAGTATTTGCAATGATGTTTGAGGTTTGAAGTTTGTTGTTTCCGCTGAGTCTCAGTGGCATCGTGCCCAACCAAGCCAACATCATCAACGAAATGGGCCACGGCCAAAGCTGAACTGAATGCATCAGTCATGTGCCTGTGACTCTGGGCTTTGCAAGGTGTGGCGTCCTGGGTGTTCTGGCTCATATTGGTGCTGCTTGGCAGAAAGGTCAATGCATGATTCTCCCCCCTGGAGTGCGGCTCTTGATTCTGCTCGGGCTGAGGTGCTTCGTGCTGCTGGCTTCTGTATCCCGGCAAGCAACCATAGGAGCCAGTAGCTTGTGACAATGCTGTTGGATCCTGAAGAGCCTCAAGCGTGTGCTGGCTCAGGTAACCATTATGTACATGCTGGTGGGCGTGCTTGTAGAGGTCATGACAGTTATTTCTGCCACAGAGAAAGAGGGCATGACAGTGTCAGCTGGTGGCATCAAAGATTCGGATCACAGTGCTGACAATACATTACAAATAATATGCTAGTTTCCCTAAAATAGGGGGACCCCAACATAGACCCCAAAATACTATAATCCTTATTACAGGGATCCCCAAAAAGTCACCCCTAATTTTGGGAAACCCCCCGCATAAGTCTGCTGGAGATTCGTCAGCTGCGACGATTACATTCTCTTTTGCGGATGCCCTAGCAGATCCAGCCGTTCCCCCCTAGGGATATTGGGATTACATGAAGGTTATGTAGGGGTATAATGTTGGGGTTTCATAGGACAATGGCGACAATGGACAACAAAATGGCAGCTACTACCTGCATTTCTGCGTGATTTGTGTCGTATCCGTTGTGATGATCTGGTGAGCATAAGGTCTTATGTGGCCTCGACCCTGAGACAGCTTATGCAGCAGCTCAATTACAGCACTGCCCTCCGGCTGGTTGATAGCGTGTTGCTGTGCCTCCGGCTAGGTCCTGGGTTCAAGTTTCGTGAGCAGGGAGCTTGTCGTAGTGCAAGCCTTTCGTTTCTTTGGACGTTCCGGGACACTAGGATTCGCAATGCAATTGCACAGGTGCACTGCATGTGTGCTGGCATATTTGATAAAGTTGCTTTTTTTTTGCTTGCTTCGCTATACTTATCGGCTTAGCTCACCCATTTCTGACATTGCTCCTGCTTTGGACTGACTTTTTTGAGCCAGGGGTTCTGCGGTCCAGCCTTCTAACCTTGACGGGTTTGTTTGGTGTCTGAGGTAAGTTGCTTGCAGAAATAGCTGCAAAGTTGTGAGCTTTGACATGGTCCTTAGCTTACTGATTCGTAGGGAATAAGGGAATATAATCCCTCTATATAAGCATCCCCCTATATAATCCCTATATATACATATATATATATACAATATTCCCATATTCTCTACTCGGAAGCAGTAAGTCAGGTATGCCAAGGTTTAAGGCTCTTCGCAGGGATGTCTCCGCGTTTGTCTGGAAAACAGATTCATGGGACAGCTGGATTCCAAAAGAGATTATCTGAAATTTCATGAAATTCCTTTCTCAACAATTGTCTGCCAGACAGCTCATTACTCAAATGCGACATCTAGAAACTTAAGCCGAAAGAGGCGACCACAGGATCGAACTTGTCAACAGCTTGTCATAAAATCTATGCTCCAGCATAATATGCAATTTGTGTATGTTCAGACGTGTGGCTGTATAACAGGGAATGGGACTGGACTGCTAAACGTCGCCTTAAAAGAAGGCTTGAACCAAAGGCTAGAATCAGATGGATGCTTGTGTACCGCATTTGTCTCGCAGAGTTGTTCGCGCCTTTCTTGCTCCTTAAGTCTGCTAAAGCGCAGCCATGACCCAATGTCCATGCACTAATAAAATCACCAAACAGCAGTAGCATTTACTGGCCTGCAATGGGGTTGGGATTGCTATCGCTTTAGATCGTAGACACGAAACCTCGAACGGTGCCTAGGAAGTGCCATTGTCGCAGCGAGAATTCCAAGCCTTGCTTGTCGAGGAGGAGTGGCTTGGACTGCAATTTTCATTGTATCACTGACAGTGGGATGGGCAACTTGAAGTTGCTGGAACTCCACAAGACAAGGGGTCTTGGGCGTGACCTCTCAAGCCTTCTCTGAAGGGGTCAGCCATGCCTACGTATCCGTATGGCCCCCTCAGTTTGTGAGGGTCTGAATCGGTCTGAAAGAGTGTGCGGCTTATTTTGCCCCACTTCAGACCTAAGGTTGATCATGCATGGCTAGGCAAATCCATCACTGTTAACTTTGTTTCAGCTCAGTTTTTTAGTCGTTACTCATGCAAAGCCTGTGATACTTCCTGCTTGCAACCCGCTCCCCCCAGAGCTCTCTGCTGTTTCAGCCTGGGTTGTAAGCTTGTGGTCTTGTTGAGATGTTGAATGTTCACGGTGTTCCTATGGGGGCTCTAAAGTGAGTTCCGTGTATGCTAACCTAAGTCCTGGGAATACTCCCAGAAGTTCGGGTCTGCTCCTTCTCAGCATCAGCGGGAAGCCCCTCAGAGCCCCAGCCCATGTTGCTCGAGCAAGCTGGTGCTGGCATTTCCACCGCACGTTGTCGCTGGGTCTTGGTTTTCCTGCACCCTGTCCGTGTCCCTCTCACTTGCCTTACTGTACTTGCGACCCTGCCGCGCATTCACATGTTTTGCCATAGAGCATCATAGAGCTAAGCAGAAAACCGCCAGCTCTGGTCATCAGCTGATCCTTCGGCCTTACGTATTCCAGCCCGCGCATCAGGTACCTCTTCGGGTCACCTACCCCCCAGTTAGAGGATGTAGGGATGGTGGGATATTGTTATTAGGTACCTCTTTGCGGGTTACTTTCGCGCGCTACCTCCGGGGACAATCTTTATGCGCGCGTTAGATGCCCGCCACCCTCTTCAAAACAAGATTTGCCGACGAAACAGGTACCTTCGCACCCGTGGAGGCTTTTCTACCGCGGGATACCTACCAGAGGTAGTTGCCATGAGAGGATCTTCGCGCGTGTGTTGGGTACCTCCCGAACCCCCCCCCCTCTCTGTCCGCTGTCTATCGACGTAGCTGGCGTCCTGCCCCTCCCCCCTCCACAGATTATCTCCACAGGATACCTGACAAAGGTAGTCGCCATGAGAGAATCTGGTTTATGCGCACGTTGGATACCTCCCTCCCAACACCCCCCGCCCCCTGAGATGTAACCTGTGC